TTTGGACTAAATCCTCTAATGTCCCATTTAGTTCTTAAAGTCTGTGCATGAGTAACCTTAATCATTAAGAAAACATATGATCCTGTCATGTACAAAATATAAGAATATATATCTTTGGTTTCTATTGTCATGAAGCACATTCCCTTCTTTAAGCGAGATGGAAAGCACAGAAAATGAAAAGGAACGGAGGTAGTTAAGTTCAGAACAATAACCAGAGGAATATAATATGCATTTCATGCATTTCTCAAACTATAATATTTAAAACTGTCAGAATAAAAGCACATAATAAGTTTGAAAGCCAGAAGGCTTTTTAACAAGAGAAAAATAGGTTTTGTCTTTGAGGAGGGAGGTGAGAGAGAGAGAAATGCATCATCTATTTTCATTACTTAGCAGTGTAATGACACAAGGCATTTTACTGTTTTGAATGCTATACAATTATCACAACACAAAAATTCCATTTGGAAGGTATCAGAAGCAAACACACACACACACACACACACACACATGCACACCAGAAGCACGCTTCTATGAAGCAGAATGAGCTTTCATAGTAGCTGCTGTCTTCATTGTTCATGAGAAGTTTAGTTTAGGATTATGAGGCAGACTTCCTGAATGAGCGGGATATCTTGAAAGAGGAGTCAAGAAGGATCTGGGGAAATGGACTTAGGTACTGATCTGATCAAGATTTATGTTTAGGATCCTTTTGATCAAAGAGGGGATGTGACCATCCCTCAACCCTGGCCCCTGAGGCATCGCTGCAGAATCAGACTCCACCCTATAGTCTGAAAATCATCGGTTAGAGTGACAGTCAAGGAAGCCAGGCGTCTCTAGTCAAAGATGGAGCACCTTTCTTGGTTAAAAAGTTGGTGTCCTCATGTCAATCCTCAAAATTTCCCTTGGTTATTTCCAATAAAATAATGTGAAATGCAAAAGTATGGGACCCACTGACTATGTGAATATATTTCAGGCAAACTGAATGTAGCAGAGAAAGAATTGGACATTAAAAAGAGGAGGGATTCATGGTTTATAAGATGTTTGTAAGATGCTTAGGAAATATAGTCCATTAGCCACTGATGTTCTAGAGCTCACACTTGCCCCCCAATCAAGGTGAGGAACTAGGAGGGACCTCTAAGAGATTGGGTGCTTCTACCTTCCTTTTCTTTCTTCTCTTCCTGCCTTTCTCCACCTCAACCGTTCATCTACTGATTCCGTTCATCTCCTGATTCACTTAGTATTCATTTGGTAACTAGTAAGGGTCAGGAACCAAGCTGGATACTGGAAATAAAGCAAAGAATAAGTGAGACGTGCCACCGTTGCCACCAACTTTACAGTTTCCTAGGAGGGGGAGGTGACATTAAATAGAAAAGTATCCAGAAATCCATGTACTAGAGGAAGATAAAAGTATTTTCATCTAGTTACAAGTTCCAGGGAAAGCCTTCATGAGAAAGTAAAATTTAAACTTAGACTGAAAGTGTGAGGAGACAAGGAAGATGGCTGGGCAGGTGGTATGTATGTGTGGAGCGTTCCAGGCAAGGGAAAAGGTACATCAAAGCCTAGAAGTAAGAAAATCAATGAAGACCAGTGATACACAGATAGAATGATATGAGGGTTTCTTCCAGTTTTATAACTTTTCTACTAGATATTATTTCATTACTCTATCCTTTTCATCATTTTTTTTTCATGAAGCAATACACCACTAAGGGAAAAGTTTTCATAGGGATTAACTTTTTCAGAGATAGCAAGGTAGTGGAAAAACTAGAATTAACTTTTACTTGATAGCTGGCTAGGGATGCAGAATAGAAACTAAGTGAGGGATTGCAGGTAGGAGTGACTGGGAAAGAGTAGCAGATATCATGGGGGCAAAAAGGAAAAACTTGGAATTTCTTCTGTGGCCACACTTCTCCTCCTGATACCTGCCCCCCCCTCACCCCGCCGCTGCAGTTAATGGATTTGAAAACAGGGGGAGGGTCCACAAATATTCTAGTAATTACCCATTTCCAGGATGCAATTAGATTTTATCCCATATGCCAACCTCCTTCAACAGGTTGGTTGGAGCTGGAGCACCAAATTGAGAAAGTATTCTGAGGCCTGAGGTTAGCAGGAAAGGGTACAGTTACCAACAGCCCTATTTATGGAAGCGAGGCAAGGCAGCAAGCACGCTGTGTGTTTGCTTGTTTAATCCAGATCACTGAAGGGCACCTAATTTGAACCGGTGACTTCCTGGCTGTAAATGCCAGTGCTGCTGGATTTTCCCTATCATTTGCTCATTTAAAGAACCCTCCTAGTATAAAGTACTACTCTTATGAAGTTGGAATGATATAATGGAAAGAGCAATAGACAGGGACAAAAGTTCTACCGCAGGTTCTACTGTTGATTTGGTGACTGTTTTAGGGCAAACTTCTGGGCCTCAGATTTCTCTCCCATAAACTTTATAAATATATTACTGATTCTAGATCTGGTCACCAATGTGTTGTTTGACTACAAACATAGTATTTCCCAGGCCAGCAGATGCAAACTGTGGCAAGACTGCTAAATGTCTTTGGTATCCAAGATTCCCTTCTTCTCTTTAGTTAACAGAGCTTTCCTCCCTGTCAACCAAATGTTAAAAGGCACACACATGCCACCCAGCTTAAGACTACATTTCCCAGAATACTTAGTATTTAGCTGTGGCCACATGACAGCATTCTAACCGATAGGATGTATGCGACTTCTGCATCACTTACATAAAAAGAAATCTTTTCTTTTTCTCATGGCAGGAAATGTGAACAGAGCACTGGTGAACCAACTGTGACCAAATAGACTAATATAAAACACGAGAAGAGCTGATGTTAGAGCAATGAGTGGTCAGAGAAGCTGTGGTCTCAGCAGTTCCCTTGGAGCAGCACTTCCTTCCTCCCCTGACTGCCTGCCTCCTTCCGTATTAAAACGGGAGATAGAAATAAGCCTCTCTCTGGTTGGAGCATCTGTATTTTTAGGTCTCTCTGTTACTGTAGCCAGGACCCAACTAATTTACAAACTCAAGGACACACAGGGACCAGGAAGTCAATATAAACCAGTAATCATCTAAATAACTGCTCAAGGCTGAAGAACAAGTACGCAGTGGGAAGCAGCAGCCACGGCGGCTCTGCGCAGCAGCTGCCCCCTGGGAACACAGGCCTAGGGCTTCCAGCCCTACCGATTTATCAAGAAATCTGGGTTTGCAAGTCGTACATTTGCTAAAAATATTGGCAACTAATCCAAAACTACCTGAGGGTTAAACAAAAATGCCTCTTTATCAGACTCAAGCTTATGATGGCCAGGGTGTGACTTGTTCTAGACTATGAGACAGCACTGAATAAACGCACAGATACACCATCATCCTAAGAACCGCTTTTATGGGGGGAAAATAAACTTTGCCACATGGAATGTATATACTGACTGCCAGGTAGTCCTTGATATCAGAGACGTAAGAGTACAGAAAAACTGACATATGTTTAGGATTGGAAAAATTTAATGTTTTTTAGGACACAATCCTAAATACAAAAAACATTCCAGTTCATGATGATGACAGTGTGACATCATGAGCCAAAATTCCTCAATCACCCTCAACTCTGCAGCAGGAAGTAGCGTGCAAAGCCTATAGGAGCTGCAGCGCACACAGTAACTAGATTATTATGAACTCAAATATCCTACCTCCGTTTGACTGTCTGTGCTACTGATCGTGGTCTTTTATAATATCTTTTTTCATCTCAATGCTGCGTAGTCACTCAAAAAGATACTTTCCAGTGAATTTATTCCATGTTATCTGAACTTAATAATTGGGCAAAATAAATGCTTGGCACAAACACATTTAGCTAATAATTTTAGCTATGAAGCAATGTCAGCCACATCACTACATTGTAACCCATCAGGATCATCAAATGTAAACTTACTTCTGAGTTACTAAATTATTATGAGGAAAACATTTATAACTAACACCTTCCCCAAATATCTAATCATACATCCCATTGCTGGGTTTGTCTTGTGTTGTTTTTTACATCCATAAGCACAGGCGCACAAACATCAGTGCGAGGGCAGTAGGCCGTGACATGGCACAAAGCATTCTAGACTGGCCCCTGTTCTGTGGCGTATGAGGCTGCTTGGCTCACCGATCAATGTTAGAGTCAGAAAGTGGCTGCAAACGTTTGTCTGAACCTGATGCTCCTACCTTAGTAGTCTTCTGAAAGTCACATCTAAAGGTTCTGAAAGGGTACTATAAAGTATGTGTCTCATTGCCACACTGGACCATTCCTTGATCCTCACTAGCACTGCCCTAGACCATGATTAATCTGTTCTTTTTTTTTTTTTTTTTCAAGTAGGCTCCACATGGAACATGTAGCCCAAAATGGGACTTGAACTCACCACCTTGATTTCAAGGTGAGCTGATATCAAGAGTTGGATGCTTAACCAACTGAGCCACCCAGGAAGTTCCATTTATTTTTTAAATGGCTCAATTTAAAGAGGAAATGAAACACTTAAAACTCACTTTTCAACATGGGCCATATGACTTAAATAGTAAGAATCAAGACACAAATAAGAAATTTCAAGTTTCCTAATTCCTTAGAAGACTTTCATGGAGCGCCTAGGTGGCTTAGTTAGTTAAGCGTCCAACTTCGGCTCAGGTCATGATCTCATGGTTTGTGAATTTGAGTCCTATGTCAGTCTCTGTGCTGTGCCGACAGCTTGGAGCCTGGAGCCTGCTTCGGATTCTGTGTCTCACGCTCTCTCTCTGCCCCTCCCCCGCTCACACTCTTGTCTCTCTCTCAAAAATAAACAAACAACAACAACAAAAAAGGTTTTCATTCATTCTGCTGAGAATATGCATTCAGTCCAAGGAAGCTCACTAGTATATACGATAATAAGTATCTGTCCTGTGTGAAGAATACAGAAGGTTAAGTTTAAATTTGGCCTTAGTCTTTTTCAGTATTTATAAGTTTACACCAATTGTTTCTATAGTTTTCTGTTGCTGTTTGTTTGTTTACCTCTTCATATATTCCAGTGCATTCATAGTAGTCTCTGGAAGGGAGGCCAAGTCGAGGCTGGTCAATCTGTAAAACATATACAAAGAAAATAAACCATTCAGTTGATGTGGGACAGCGGGACAAAGTACAAGCAAGTCTACGTATGTATGAGCAAGATCCTAGTGTTCTTGCTGTTTATAAGGGTAACATCCAGACAATGAGTGAGTACAAATTCAGCAATGGTTTCCACATTACTTAGAAGTGTTACAGGGATGGGTGGTTAGGTAATCTGGAAGAATATGCTGCAGGTATTTGAAGAAAGCCAAAGAAATTTGAATGAAAATACACCGGGAAGAACTTTTTAATGCAAAACAGAAGGTGCAGGTGGACAAAAACATGTTGGAATCTAGGACTTGGAAGTTTCTAAAATTATACACTTACAGGACACTTAGCTTCCTGAGATTCTAATATGCTCTCCTGGCGGATATTCTCCTCTCCCACCCTTAACTGGGATGGGAAAAAAAACAAAAAGTGGGAACCTCTGTGGTAACTCTAGAATTGTTTTTCTAGTGAAAATCTTGCCAGAGATTTTTTTTTTTTGAGATGCCCTATCCTGGGGGCGCCTGGGTGGCTTAGTCGGTTAAGCATCCGACTTTCGCTTAGGTCATGATCTCGCGGTTCGTGGGTTCGGGCCCCGCGTCGGGCTCTGTGCTGACAGCTCAGAGCCCGGAGCCTGTTTCAGTCTGTGACTCCCTCTCTCTCTGACCCTCCCCTGCTCATGCTGTCTCTCTCTCTCTCTCCTAGAAATAAATAAAACATTTAAAAAATAAATAAATAAATAAATAAATAAATAAATAAACAAGAGATGCCCTATCCTGAGTGGGAGGGCGGGGGCGGAGGGGGAGGGGATAGGAGAGACTCCTCCTCCCGGCTCTCCCACTCTGCTCAGGACTTGAGTAGACCCAGCTGACAACTGGTTGTGTGAAAGAGGAAAGTAGGCTCTGCTTGAGTGGGTTTGGTCCCTGTGTTCCAGTGAGCCAGTGCACACCAGTGCAGCTTTGGGAGATTGCTTCCTAGGTTCGATGGGTACAGGGCAAACTGGAGCACGTATGGGGTAAGTGAGAACCCCAGCAGCTGTAAAGAGCCCAGGACAATACAAAAGAAACAGAACCCAGAAGACTGGTATGGAAAGTGCCAGAAGGTGTCACCACAGGTAGGGCTCTGCCCTTTTTCCAACCTCCCAACTCTCCCTAGGAAATCTCTTCATGGTGATCATGGTGATCATACAGGATAGCTAGCACTGAAGAGCCAAAGGAGTGAATTCCAGAAGGCGGGGCGGGTCCACTGTAGAAGACAGCTAGGTTCAATCTCTTTCATGATTTTACTAAAAATGGCCATAAAGATATATGCAATAGTGACATAAATATGAATCTGTGACTTGTAACCTTTGGAGTACTTTCTTTTACAGTAGACCAAATAAAAGCTCTATAAAGATTTTAGTCCAACCCAACATACTCATTAAGTATTAATCTCATCTTAGGTGACACCTTAAGTAAACCTAAAATGAATGGTTTACATGAGGGGAAAAAACTCTAAAGAATTGATTTTAAAAGAATGGCATTTTTATTTACTTTCGCTGAGATAAAAGTTCAGATATTCTTTAGTAACAGCCAAAACTGTATTCAAAATCCTTTTCTCAAAAAGCAAAAAAAAAAAAACAAACCACTTCCCCCACCCCACCCCCACTCCCACCAAATCCCTTTTCTGTGTTCTTTTGGGAAGCAACTGGAAATTTCTGGTTTCCAGATTTACATTACTAATGTAAACCAAACCACACTCCTTTCATGAACATACGGAGAAATCAGGTGCTGTTTCAAATTAGGAGGCCCTTTCATTTCTTTAATTTATTTTATGAAGAAAGCAGTATCAAACCTAAGGTAGCAGAAGGGACACATGACCACAGCATTAAGAAAATACTTTCAAAATTGCGAATGCAGGTATCAGGGACAGAGCACAGATTTTTTTATTACTATCTTGCTCATGCAATTCAAATGAGAATATGCATCATTTCTAAATATCAACAACAACAATGTACGCAGAAGTTTTATTAACAATTTAAAGATAACTTGGCTGTCAGCCACACAAACTTACATGAATTATATGGTTCACAGAGTTTTTATCATCCGTGCCAACAAAAAAATTAAGAATGACTTTTTTCCCAAATTTAGAATTCAGCCGTGCAATAGATTTCTCAGCTGTCCAAGAAGGACCTAAAGCAAAGAAAGGTGAAGAATACTTTTAGAAGTTTTAGTGCATTAATGCGATACTACAGATTCTACATGGAAATTATATTTTTAAAAAGAATGAAAATCGCCTTACCATAGGTTTGCTCCCAGTTTTCTGTTACTACTGGCCAATCGTATATTTCTGGTAGTAGACTGAGCAGAGGTTTTCCACCTCTACTATCGATAGCAGCTTTTGGAAACAAAGAAAACACATTCCTTATGAAACCTTTGCATATTTTGGCACACTCTTAATGGAGTACAAGGAAGAGCACTTACATTCATTTATACAAGATCTGTATAGTGTTTTTGCTTTCTGCACTGCTACTATATCTTCAGTTTTGGGTTCCTGAAGAACATCTGAAATAGATCATTGAGTACAACCCATCAATACACTTGCTCGTTTGCAGCTGTAATTAACATTTGCAATGCAGTTTCAGAAAAAAGCTTGCTTTTGTGTAGGTATGTTCACTCCCTCCCCACTAAAACCCTCCAGGAAAAACTAAACCCCTTACCAGATCATTATTCCTAGTGCAGAACTGGGAGTTGATTTCATTAGCCAAGTTAGATGAAAGTCTTTTTGACTAGACTCTCTTTTTTTTGTGAACAGCGATGTGTTCTGCTCTGCCATACATAAATTCTATTCTTTTTAAATTAAGACTAAAAAGAAATAATGCAGAGGAATACAGAATTTAAGATGATAAGTCTTCTTGGTAGCTGGAAATAATTATCTTTGTGTGATTGTACCGTTCATGCTCCAAATGAATTGAATGAAGAATTGTACTTGTTTGCATGTTTGAAAATAGCAAAAATTGTTTTTCTACAAAGTAACTTCTAGAAGAGGGGAACAGAAGATGGAGGATAGCAGAAGACTAGACAAGACTTCAACTTCCCAGGGAGAGCATCTTAGCTGGGTTAGAATAAATATACCCATTTAGGGATACAAATGTCAGTAACATCTTCAACACGGTAATGGCTCAATATTGACATCAACCCAAGGCTAGGGTGGGAAAACAATGGAGGTGGTGGTTAGTGGCAATCAATTAACTTATTTAAAAAATATTTTTAATGTTATTTATTTTTGAGAAGAGAGAGGCACAGGCAGGGGGACAGAGGATCCCAAGCGGGCTCTCTTTTGACAGTAGTTAGCCCCATATGGGGCTTGAACTCTTGAACCACGAGACCCTGACCTGAGCCAAAGTCAGAAGCTTAACTGACTGAGCCACCCAGGTGCCCCAATTAATCTCTTCTTCTGTGAAATGGCATAAAGATGCCATCTCTAGAGACGACAGAGGTGTTTTGTATGTGTGCCCGCAAGTGAATGCTGAGATGCCAACATTTCCATTTCAGCGTTACCACCCTCAGAGTGGCTTGGTGGTGAGCCACAAAAGTTGGAGGGATTATCGACTTTAATCTTCTGTGACATTCTCTGTAATGGCTAAGAGTTGTATCTTTAAAAAATGGATATATTAAGAGAGAAATCTTTGATGCATAGACACAAACTCCACTAACCTTTCAAAACGACTTCCAGTTCATCTCTTAAAATGTCAAAGTTACTGTAACGGGAGCTGGTCTCAGGAATGACGTTGCGTTTCAACCAGCCTCCACAGGCATATTTAAAAAAGTCTGTACAAGGCTCAGCAGTGGCATCCATGTTCTGGATCAGTCGAGCGGCTGAAAGACCAGAGGACGAATGAGATCAAATGAAGGGTGCATGTCTTAAGTAGTTTGGAAGCAGGGGAAAGAGCCATGTTATTTCTCCTTTATGGTCAAGTCAACTGGACTGATGGTCCTTTTTCTTATATAACGGTCAATTGAGGAGGGATGAAGACTCTTAGCTATATATAGTCCTCCTTTCCTTTACTGTCATTGGTTAGCTTTATTCTGACAGGTCTTGGTCTTCCCATCCTACGTCCCACCCCCACCTCCAAATAACTGAGGTCCTTGTTAACTCCTATCTCAGATGACAACAAAGAACACAGGTCTGCCTTAGCAGGCCTGAACCTGGGGCTGACACAGGTAGCTTTTCACTTTATTAATTTTAGCCGGTGACTCTACTTTTCAAGGGTCTGTGACTTTTGAATGTCTCTGAGACTCTAAGGGAAGTGGGATTTTTATTTTTTTAAAGTAATCTCTATACCTAACGTGAACTCACGACCCTGAGATCAAGAGTCCCATGCTCCACCTATGGGAGTCAGCCAGGTGCCCCTGTGGGATTGTTAGTGCATTTTATCACTTTACCATTATTACTTCTTGGACCTTGCTTACAATATTTTTGCACTTCAAATGTGACATTTGTCTATGTAGAGTCTGTCATTACAAAATTGGCTGTAAGCTCGTTAGTTTTTCTTAGCTTTTCTTACATCCACTCTTTTATCTTTGAGAATGGACGATGAAAATATAAATGAGCCAACACTGAGTACTTGCAACGTGCAAAACCCTGACGGTGCTAGGTGCTGCAGCTGACAGAAGGATGTATAAAATATGAATTACTGCCATTGAGGAAAAGGATATTATGCATAGGAGGCCCAACGCCCACAGTTCCTACATGTGGAAGAGAGAGAAAGCCCGCCCACTGTCTTCCCCACATTCTTTCTCATCCAAGTTGAACTGTTCTGCAGCAAAAACAAAAGAGCAATTGAGCATTCATCTCTATCAGGAGAGTATAAGTTCTCAAATGAGCTTCTGAAAAGACTTCACTTTCTGAATTAAATAATTAATTAATTAAAAACTTCAAACAACTGCTGAGCTGTGTGGACAGTCTTCCAACCTCAAATGGTTTAGTCTGTTTTCCAGTGGAATCTCAAGCCCCCACTTCTGACCATCCTCTGGACGTGTCTGCCTGGCTGCCCCCTCAGACTCCAAGTCTTTAATGCTGAACTATGGGTCGTCTCCAGACCAGTCCTTTCTGGACTCGCGCACCTTGGTACACAGCACACCCCTTACCATGGCCTCCCGGGTATGAGCCTTGGGTAACACTCTCTATTTTTCTCTCCTGCTTAGGCTTATTGGTAACTCCTTTGCCTCTTTCTTATACTCGCCGCGATCAGTTTACCCTTTCACTCTCTTTTGACTAGAAGTCATCCAACTATTCATCTTGCTAGTACCATCTCCCTACTTGCATATATTCCACACATCTTTCATAGATTAAACTTTCTCAATTATGCTTTTGGGAGCCACTCTCTCACTGGAAGATACAAAATTCTTTAATTTGGCCTTTACGAATCAAAAGTCTCTACCTTCTCTTTTTTCCTCTCTGTTTTTACACAAACTCTGCTCCAACCAGACAGCCTTGCTCCATGTGCCACAAACACTCCTGTGTTTCTCCACTGGGTGCTGGTGCTTCTCAGTCCCTCTGAGAAGCAGCCTTCTCACCCTACCCTTCTAACTTCTCTTCCCTTTCTTCCCAAATGCTGCCCACTATTGAAGGTTCAGGATGTGGCCCATCTCTTCCCTGAGGCTCCAGTGACTCCATACTTCAGGAAATATTTCTTTCTCTTTCCTGAGAGCTCATTGCCTCTCTCAGCTCCTAATGCTCATTGTGGACACCTACACCATCTTCCTAATCATTCTGTCGATGAACTTAGCCTCTTTGTATTCCCATCACCTAGCACCTCATAAAAGACATGCAAAATGGTTATGTGTGATGACCTTACTGAGTCACCTGTGAGTCCCTACTCCTTCCTCTGACACACCCCCTCCCCCGCTCCTGCACATCAGACCAGTTCTCATCTCCTGGCCTCCAGTCCATCCCATGCTTTCAACGTCCACTGTTTCTGCTCTCTTTCAGGCCCTCCTCTTAAGATCTACCCATGCCCTTTTGCCAAAGCTGTTGCCCCAGGCCCCTCCCGCTTCCGATCCATCATGTGGGTCAGTCAGATTAATGTTGCCATCATATTTCAGCATGCCATTTCCTCTCCGAGATTTTCAAAATACTCCATCTGCATTTATAATAAAATCTTGAAAAATATATAAATATATACGAATATATCATAAAATCCTCACATGAAACTAATGTAACACTGTACGTTAATTTTACATGAATAAAAAGAAAACAAATAAAATCACAGATGGCATAAATGGCCCTGGGAGAAATTTTAAAATAAATCCAGACTCCCCAGCACATTCTCATTCTGCTATATCTCGTGAAGCTTCTCTCTCATCACTGCCTCACACGCGCCTTCTGCCCCAATTCAATGGCTGTGTCAGTTTCTGCTGTGAACACCTTACAGTTTTCTGCTTTTGTAACTTTGACCATGTTGCATCAAGCCTTACTAAAATATCCTTTTTAATATTTGCATGTTTAGAGATTTCAGGCATTTTCAAGGCCTCAGTTCAAATCCTCCTTCTTCATCAAGGACTGTCCTCACAAAATCTACATCAGCTGCCATCATATTCAGTTTTTTTGTTGGAAAAAAACCATTATCTCCTCACCTGGACTGTGCGGCCTGGTAAAGAAGGGGACGTGTTTTCTGATGTTGCAGTCAGTCAAGATTTCTCAGTAAAAACTCTTAACTTAAAACCTCAGGTAAAGATGTGGAAATTGATTTCAAAAAGATGGAAAAAATAACTCCCTTAAACGCTGAGGGAAATGAAAATATAATAGGGGAGGTGAAAATAAAGACCCTAAATGCCTGGAGAATTATCAGAGTGAAAAACCAGAAAATTGGGAGCCTGAAAGAGCTAACCACATTCTAAGCAGACATTTTAGCAATTTGATGCAACTTTTGTCTTTTAACATACTTTTAACTATTTAAACTGAACGTTGTAAAGGCAACTGCCATTTGGGGAGCACTTCTAGTTTCTTCCCCTCCCTGGGGAAATGGAAGGTTTATGTCCCCAACATCACAAGGAGCAAGCAACAAACTCCGAGGGGGAAGAGCAGTGAACAAGTACTGAATCCGTAGGATGAACAGGCCTTACTGCCTGTTGGGAAATACCACATGCCCTTTTAAACACCGTGAACAAAGAAGAGGAGCAGTGGAGCAGCTCTGTGCTCATGAGCACAAACCCACTGCCACATGAATGGCTCTATATGTCTCACTTCTCCCACAAAGGAAAAAAGTAGGATCCTTCCCCTGTTAGGTGGCATTTCGTCGCTTGACACTCAGTTCAACTATTTACATCTGGAAAACAACCCAAAGAAGCAGAATTCAAACAATTGTGAGGGCCAAGCAGGCAAGAGATAGGAAGAGGCAACTTTGCAAACCCTTTCCTGTGACACTTTTTAAATTTCCCTTTGACCAGACAGCGCATCTGAGCATGGGTGCTTCCAATCACTTCAAAGAGAGCTTTCTGTCCTGCTGAATATTTTGGGGCCATGGGCCAAGGCAAGTCATGGGCTAGCACTTTTATGCGGGGTCTTTGATCAAGCTTCCTTTAATCTCTTATCGTGGGTTTGATTCTCGTTTTGCACCTTACCGCCCAGACCTCCTCTGTGCTGACTTTTCTTTGAAGTCAGCGGTAGACCTGCGGGTAGAAGGCCTGTAGGAAACAGACGCTCAACTGTCAAATTGGTCATAATTGTTTTTATATTTTGCACTTTGTTTTGAATTACTCAACCTCTCCACACAGCCACACCTGGGCTCTTCAGATGTTTCCTTATCTGTGTGTTTCTGACTCCTGAGTAAACAAATGTGATTTAAAAACAAATAAAATTATTCATCTTCATAAGTAGACATAAAGAACGATGTAGTAAAGGCAAATGTTGTTGACCACATGTTCGTAAAGCGAAAGAAGCAGTATTTATGCTACTTTTAAAACTCTACATAAAAGCACAGAAAGTCTAAAGACATTTATAGCAGTTACATATGAGTTGGAAGATTATGAGTGTATTTAATTTTGTATTAGTTGCTTATCTTTATTTTCCAATTTGTATTAGATGAACATGCGTTGCTTTTGCAATAAGAAGAAAAAAAGCATTTTTAGTTTAAGAAAATAGTCACATAAAGACAAGAAAAGTAATCTTCTATTAATAATGAGCTTATTTCTTATGAATGACAATTCCAAATGTTCTAGGCTGATAATATATGACACACCATTTTTTCCCTAACTAATCTTCTTGTAACATTCTCCTAACTTGCTTGACTATAGGAATTTTAAAGCAAGCTCAACTACCATTTGGGAAGTTATTAATTACTATATTCATTACTGAGGGTCTACTGTGTGGGAATGGACTGGAAGATGCTGTAGAAGCTGGGGAAATGTTTGGGGTCCTTAAATCAGGCAGACCTGTTTTGAATCCCTGAGCTTCATCACTTTTTAGTTGTATAAGATTAAGAAATTTCCCCGAGATCAAGCAGCTAGTAAACAATGGGGCCACGGGCCTTGCACTTAGGCTCTTGGGGCCCCAGGTTCACCACCCTCTTCCTTCTGTATTTTGGATAGACCAGAGGGAGGTGTGTGAGAAGCAGTGACTTGCATTCCCTCCCTTTTTTCTTCTTCTCAGTCACCCTTTCTTTTGCCTTGCCCTCCACCCCCTGCCCTTCCTGCCACCTTGTAACCACAGCTTCCCAACGTTATCACCAGCAACAAGACTTGGGTCAAAGGTAGGAGAAAATACCAGGGCTTAGAAGGTCTGCAGTGGCCAGGAAGAAGGAAAAAAATTTTTTTAAATCCCCAACAAACAAACAAACAAACAAACAGATGAATTCCTCACAGCAGGGCAAGCAGACAGGAAAGTGGCATGGAGCCCACGTGTACTCAAGAAGTGCATCTTTTTTAAAAAAGAATTTTTAATGTTTGTTTATTTTTGAGAGAGACAGAGAGAGAGACAGAGTGCAAGTGAGGGAGGGACAGAGAGAGAGGGAGACACAGAATCCAAAGGAGGCTCCAGGCTCTGAGCTGTCAGCACAGAGCCCGACGTGGTGCCAGAACCCACAAACTGTGAGATCATGACCTGAGCTGAAGTCGAACGTTCAACCGACTGAGCCACCCAGGCGGCCCATAAGAAGTGCATCTTCTTGAGGTGGGCATGTAGCAGGATTCCTGCCTAATAGATCTTTGGATATAATCCATTGGGCTATGAAGAGTGAAAATTCTCAGTAATATGTTTTAAAGCACTATTTTTCAACTGGCTAACCATATGTATCACCTTAGAAGCCTTTTAAGCATACAGGTCCCCAGGATTCACCTCTGATCAATTAAATTGAAATCTTTGATGTGGTCCAGGCATTTTCTCAAGGCTTCCTGAGTGGTTCTAATAAGCAGCGAGGGGAAATTCATCCGATTAGACAACAGAGGAACATAGAAAATGCGGACAAGAGAATCCAATGTCAGGCAGTAAAGATGGTCTTATACTTAGATAAATCAGATATATTTCTTCTCACTTTTCCAGGCTATGTAAATGGGCTCCTATCATGACAACCTATATTTATTTTATTTTCCTTTTTAAATTTTTAATATTTATTTTTGAGTAAGAGAGAGAGACAGAGCACTAGTAGGGGAGGGGCAGAGAGAGGGAGACACAGAATCTGAAGCAGGCTCCAGGCTCTGAGCTGTCAGCACAAAGCCCGACATAAGACTCAAACCCACGAACTGTGAGATCATGACCTGAGCCAAAGTCGGATGCTTAACTGACTGAGCCACCCAGGTGCCCCTACAACCTGTACTTCTATGTGCACTTCAGTCCCTTATATAAACCCCTGGCCCTGTATTGCAGGAAGTCATGCATTTGTCTCCTGTGTACAAGCCCACTCCTTCCAGGCCTCCACTCTACTATATTGCTCTTGGCCTCCACAACCTCTTGCCCCAGACCGCATCTGTGACCCATGGTCTGGTGCAGGAACTGTGTGAAAATGCCTTTCTTTTTCATCTGTCATTGTCTTGGAGGAGTCCCAAAGAGGCTCCTCGGGCCTCCAGGTAAATAGCTGTCTGACATTTTACCGGCATGCCTCCCTCTCCTGAGAACCACACAGACCAACAGGTCTGGTTTGGGGGAGACTATAATAGCAAAACCTTCACTCTACTCAGAATTATTTCTCTTCTCTGATGGGCAAGACTTTGTTCAAGGGACATTTTTGTTGAGCTTAACTTTCTATTCCTGTAAAATGAGCTCTCTCTAATCACAGGGGCCTCCCAGACCTCTCGGGCAATAGACCTGAGGCATAACTACTCCACCAGTTGCCAGACAGGATTAGACATGATGAAGCTCAAGCTTCACCGGAACTCCACGCCATGTCACCAATGGCGACCACGCCACACGACCCCCTTTCCTACCTATATACCCTGCTTTCCAACAATATCTGTAGTTTGCTAACTGAAAATAGGACTTTTGGCACTATGCACAAGAACTATTTCAATGTTTATACATGTACATTCCCTAGAGACTAGTTTTCTGGTGTGTGTGTGTGTGTGTGTGTGTTTAAAAAAAAATCGGCATGTGTCAAGTGGTCTTGGGGAAATTTTCAGGAACATAAGGGAAACCTGAAGTAGATAAGACTGCCATGAGAAACAAATAAAGAAACTGGAGAGCATAAAGCTTTGCGCTGTGGCACTTTTTTGTGGATTAGTTACCTTACTTAGTAATCACTGATGCTTTCCCATAAGAATGAATTCAGAGGAATTATGAATATGGTCCATTCTTTTTATTTGATGGAGTTTGTTCTAAAGTCACAACTATCACTGAATTATCAAGTACAGAGTCACTGACAATTGAGGAAATACAGGACTAGGTTCTCACCAGCTTCTGACCACAGAGCATGTTCATCAACTGATCAATGCATAATTTTGTTATATGTGTTTCTATTTAATTGAAAGACATTTTATTTAATATATATCATTGACTCATTAATTCCGAACTCACAGCCAATACTGCTATAACTCATGACTGAACAAAGTTTATCTAACACTGGTATTTTCTTTGAAGGCACAATACAGTTTTCTGCTGCTTAGAAACACTAACAACATTTAGGCACAGTGTTTGGGACCCATTTTAAACAGGAAAATAACCAACAAAAAGTACAAAAAAATGACAAATATGACACTAAATAGACCAAGGACCCTTGCTTACAGTTCTTGTTAGACCTCAGCCAGGCACACACGTGTAGTGCAACTCAAATCTTTCACCGATCTGCTCAGGTCTGCAAATGACTTCAAAAGCACCACAAGTATTGACTTCTGGGGTTACAAATAAGTTTCAGCCAGTAGGTGAGTTGGCAAAGGGGAATTCTCGAATAATTCGGATCAATTATACATTTGTCTGGTTTTTCTTTGAGGCTTTTTAACTATCCAGAAAATGTACAAAACAGGCAACAATATTAAGTGGGAATGAAGTCAAATAATTTCATCCTCAATTACCAAACTTGCATCCTAGTGTCAGAGAGTTTGAATAAGTTAGGCATCTATTTACAATGTTAAGTGCCACACATCTGATTCTATGAAAAAATGTCTTCCCTGACCATTCTTACCCTGCATGGGACTAAGGCTCAGGGAATGGTATATGAGCAAAACTGCTTTCAGCTTGTTCTTTCCAAATCAGCCTAACTGGTTGGCTTTTTGACCCCAACCACACAACATTGTCATCTCATTATATTAAAACCACTATAATCTTCCTGGCTTATGACTGTTCTGGAAGTGTCCAGAAGAGGTCAGAGAAAAGTTAGTATACAGAGGTGCAAATGTTCTTATACAGACCTTAGGACACCCATTTCTGACCCAACCTTCTGTCCTAAGTGCTTACTTTATTAATAGACACTAATCCTGATATTACTTACTTGGCAAATTTAACAACTTAACAATCTCTTTTGACAACGTTCTGAAAGTATTGCTGACCTATTCCCCTGCTGCCAACCTCCTCCCATCATCCCTCAGCCAAAATTAAGGCAAAGTCAGAACGTTTTGAAAGAACACAAGGAAAATGCAATGTAATCACAACGGGTCACAAAGGACTCCATTCAAAAGGCAGTAACATGGAAACTGGATTCTAGAGGACCATTCCTGAAGGGAAAATGACTGAAAATTAGCAAGCACACAGACTAGTGCTAATAAAAACCAAATGGTTTTCATTGCAAACATTCTGGATTCTTCCACAGTCCACTCTGCACTTTTAAATGAAATCCTTGTCCCCAAATTGCTCTTGCAATAACTTGGTGATGGGGAAATACCTGATGCTGAATGTAATCCAGACTGTCAGTCTATCATTTAATCAGCCACTCCCTGTCAATCACTGGTTAAGATCCAGCTAAGCCAAGGTCAAGTCTTACACTAGTCTAACTGATCAGCATCAATAAAAGCCATCACTATGCGTTTGTTCAGAAACTGTGGATTTATACGAGTAAGTCTGAAGAAAGCACAGGGGATCTACTCTGTAGAGCTGCAACTCTCAAGAAAGGAGACCTATTATTCTGTGTTTTAACTTGAGATGTAATTAGTTTATAAATATATTTTATATATGCATGAGATCAATTTACCTTAAATGTACACACAAAAACACACATTTGTGCGTGCATGCAATGCAAACAGTTAACCTGGTATCCATTTGCTATCAGATTTACAGATAAACTCACTATCAGATTCACATACAGAATGTAAACTGTAGGACTTCATTTGGGTTCAGCCACACATTCTTATGTA